AAAAACCTAGAAAGATTTATATGAGTTGATTCAAAGTTAAATGTACTGGGGGCAAAGTAACAGCAATATTGTAAGATGATCAGCTGTGAATGACTTAGCTATTCTCAGCAATACAAAGACCCATGACAACTCTGAAGGATTTAGGATGAAAAATGCTATCAATCCCCAGAGAAAGAAGTGATAGTGTCTAAACACAGATTGAAGCAACTTTTTTTTTAATTTTTCCTAAGGTTTTTTGTTTATATTTTCTTTCACAACATGATAATTATGGACTTGTTTTGCAAGACTACAAATACATAAGTTTTAGAGAATTATTTGCCTTCTCAGTAAAGGGGGATGAGGACAGAGAAAAGGGAGAGAATTTGAAATTCAAAGTTTAAAAAATGTTAAAAGAAAAAAATTAAAAATGCAACTTTTTGTTATTGAATATTTTACTAGAAATGTTAGCTTTAGCAAAAAGTGAAGAAAAAGAAATTGAAGGAATTAGAATGAGCAAAGAAGAAACAAAGCTCTCAGTCTTTGTGGATGATATGATGGTATACTTAGAGAATCCTAGAGAAGCAAATAAAAAGCTACTTGAAATAATAAACAACTTTAGCAAAGTGGAAGGATATGAAATAAAACCACATAAATCATTGTTATTTCTATATATTACAAACAAAGCCTAACAGCAACATATAGAAAGAGAAATTCCATTTAAAGTCACTATAGACATTATAAAATATTTGGGAGTCTACCTGCCAAAACAAACCAAAGAAATATATGAACACAATTACAAAGCACTCCTCACACAAATAAAATCAGATCCTAATAATTGGAAAAATACCAGTTGCTCATGGGTAAGCTGAGCTAATATAATAAAAATGACACTTCTGCCTACATTAATTTATTTATTCAGTGCCATACCAATGAAACTACTGAAAATTATTTTATAGAGCTAGAAAAATAAAAAGAAAATTCATCTGGAAAAACGAAATGTCCAGAATATCAAGTGAATTAATGCAAATAAAAGTAAGGGAAGGTGGCCCTAGCTGTACTAGATCTTAAATTGAAATATAAAGTAGCAATCATCAAAACTACTCGGTACTGGCTAAGAAATAGAGTGGTGGATCAGTGGAATAGGTTGGTACACAAGACACAATAGTCAATGATTATGATAATCTACTGATTCACGTACCCTAAAACTCCAACTTCTGGGATAAGAAAAAAATGTACTGGGAAAACTGGAAAAGAGTATAGCAGAAACTAGGCATAGATCAATATCTTACACCGTGTACCAATATAAAGTCAAAATGGATATGTTATTTAGATATAAGGGCTGATACTATAAGCAAACCAGGAGAATTAATGGTCTACCTGTCAGATTTATGGAGAAAGGAAGAATTTATGACAAAACAAGGATGTTTATACTTTGAAGCTTCAGTGCAGATCTAGGCTTTTCATCAGGAATGAATGGAATTCTTCCATTTCAATAAAAGTCCATGTTTTCCTCTGTAAGATTATACTGTTTGGCTGAGTGAGTTATTTTGCTTGTAAGCTCATATTCTTTGCATTCTGGAATATTGTATTTCAAGCTCTCAGCTCCTATAGGGGAATGGCTGAAAATCCTACATATTCCTGAATGTCTCTTTGGTACTTAAATCCTTTCTTTTCAGACTGCTGGCAATATTTTTTTTCTTACCTGTAAACTTGGGATTTTGTTTCTAATGTTGCTGGGAGTTTTCATTTGGTGGGGTCCTTTCCTTTATGGGAGGGGTGACCTATAGAGTCTTTCCATTTCTCCTTTGTTTTCTGGTTTTAAGAGATCTAGAATGTTTTCATTTGTGATTGCTTGAAATATTATATCTAGGCTCTTTTGTATGGCCTAGTTTTCAAGTTGTCTAATAATTCTTAAATTTTCAGTCCTTAATCTTTTTTTTCTGTATCACTTGCTTTTCTCTGATACGTTAGCAATTCTTCCTTTTTGAAAGAACAAGTTGGGGCAGCTAGGTGGCACAGTGGATAGAGAACCAGCACTGGGGTCAGGAGGACCTGGGTTCAAATCCGACCTCAGACACATAACACTTATTAGCTGTGTGACCCTGGGCAAGTCACTTAACCCCATTGCCTAGCCAAAAACAAAACAAAAAAAGTAAAAGAATAAGTGTAAGTTGGTTCTTGTGTGTGTATGTCACATCATCTTCCTTACCCTACAAATCCCTTCCCTTCCTTCTCTCAGAGAACCATATGATATGACCAATAGTATTTTATAATGAGAAAAATTAATTCAACAAAATTGATTGATACATTGAAAATGTCTGAAAACATGTGCAAGCCATAACATCTGTAGACGTCTAATCTCCACAAAGGGGTAGGTTGGGGGTGTGTTCTCATATCTCTTCATTTGACTCATACTTAATCTTTATGATTTTGTTACATTTCCTTTTAATTTAGGTGCTTTGTTTCCATTTCCTTTGTTGTGGTTATTGTGTATGTTTTTTTTCTTGGCTTGGCTTACATCACTCTGAATCAGTTCATATTGATCTTTCCATGTTCCTCTGTATTCAGCAGGTACATCACTTTTTATAGTGTAGCAATATTCCATACCATTCATGTACCACAGATTTTTAAGCTATTACCCATTACCCATAGGCATCTATTTGTTTCCACTTGTTAGCTAACAGCAAAATTTCTTGCTATAAATATTTTGAAGAATATAGTCCTTCTTCTTATCATGGCTTCCTTGGGGTACAAGGTCACTAATGGATTCTCTGATTTAAAGGTTATAAACATTTTAGTCACTTTATTTGCATAATTCCAAATTGATTTATGAAATTATTGTAACATTTCGCAGCTCCATTCACAATGTATTCATGTGCCTTTCTTTTAGCAACCCTCCAACATTGACAGCTGCCATTTTTCCCAGTTTGGGGGTATAGCTTAAAACCTTAGGGTTATTTTGAGAATTATGAGAGCAGACTATATGGACTGCATAGTAAAAACAATGATCAGAATTGATAAACTGAAAAGTGCACAGAAGTGAATGACAATCTAAAAGAAGAGAAAAAAACATTTAAAGAAAATATGGTCACTACACAAGAAACATATCTAGAAGATAGGATGCATAGAGACAACATAGAGATAAGAGGTTTCCCAGAAGGAGAGAATAGGACCAAAAACCTTCATGCTACAATGCAATAAATTACGCAAGAGAACTGTCTAGACTTTCCCAAGATAGAAAATGAAATATGAAATTGAAAAAATGAGTAGATCACCTCTAGAAAAGAACCAGCATCAAGAGTGAAATTTCCAAGACACACAGTGTTTCAATTTCATAATTCAGTTGAGAAACACTGTTAGGGATCTATAAGGATGTAGAGGGACACAGGCTGTTCAAGAGGTCTCACTGATGGGTGAAGGCCCCTCTTGGGTGCTGATCTTTGAGCAAAGGTCGCCTGGTTCGGTGCTCCATTGTATGGATCTGAAACAATCTTTAACTCCCCTATTTATTGTATGATCATTAGCAGTCTATTCTGGGATTGGAGTCAGATAAGTGCGTAGCACGTGCATGCACTGTCCTTGAGCACAGCATGGGCTATACGTCATTGTAACTTGAGAAAGAGTTCCTGTTATTTTACTATATAAGTAAGTGCTTTGCTAAAAATAAACAGAGTTGCTTCCATCTTGTCTCCCACCTCATCAATGCGCATTCAAGATAGAAAATCAAGCTGGTCTTGATTCATCAGGTGATTGGGAAATCCTAGGCCCTAGGTAGGCTCTATAGCCAAGTGAACTATTGTGCACAACAAAACACCAAGTTCGATGAGCAATGGACAGATGTTGGCCGTACCCTGCCTATCAGTGAATCAGTGATATTTGTGGGACTACAAATGGGATGGTGAATGAAAAGAGGATAAAGTGGAATGTGTGTTCTCTGTGGGTAAAATTGAAGATTAGCAAAGAGGGCAAGTTCACTCGTGTTCTAAGGAAGTGAAGAGACTTCAGGGGAATGGGCGAGGATGTAGGAAGGATTTAAAAAGGGAAGGAAGAAGAAGGGAGGCCATGTTTTGGTAGATGGAAGGGAAATCTTTTGGACCAGCTGAGAGGGGCAAAGTGGGGAAAGAAGAAAATAGCTAGAAAAAAAGGAAGCAAAAAAAGATATTAATAAGCAAAACCTCAAAGAGAAAGGGGTAATGGGATGAGGAAAAAAGAGCTGTTGGGAATACAGCCATATGAAAAATAATACACTAAAGTAACTGAAGGAACACAGTACTGAATTGATAGTTAAAGAGGGGGGAAATCATAACTTTGAAAACTCTTAATACTATAAGTGAAAAAACAAATATTTACTCAGCACCACTGCACTCATTGCAGGAGATACAGAAAGAGGCAAAATTAAGTCCCTGTCCTCAAGGAGTTTTTAGTCTAAATGGGGAGCTTATGTTCTAATAGAGGATGTCACAATTTAATGGGGGATCTTATAATATTTTTCTTTTTTAAAATTAATTTATTTTTTTTTAGTTTTCAACATTCACTTCCATAAGATGTTGATTTTTAAATTTTCTTCACCTTCTTCCTTTCCCCCTCCCCAACACTGAGTGCAATTTAATATAGGCTCCACATTTTCATATTGAAGATATTTTCACATTACTCATGTTGTAAAGAAGAATTAGAACCAATGGGAAGAACTATGAGAAAGAAGAAACAAACAAACAAACAAAAAAACAAAAAAGAGAACAAATAGTATGCTTTTATCTGCATTCAGACTCCAAAGTTCTTTCTCTGGATGTGGATAGCATTTTTGATCATGAGTCTTTTGGAGTTGTCTTGGATCCTTGCATTGCTGAGAGGAGCTAAGTCTATCAAAGTTTTCATGACACAGTGTGGTGTACAATGTTCTCCCGGCTGTGTTCACTTTACTCAGCATAAGTTCATAGGGGTCTTTCCAGGTTTTTCTGAAGTCTTCCTGCTCATCATTTCTTGTAGCACAAGAACATTCCATTACATTCATATACCACATTTTCCAATTATTTAGATTGGACTTTATTTGTGGGAGAAGTATTTTGTAATTGTGTTCACTGGGTCTCTTCACTGAGTTTCACTGCGTTCACTGGGTTCCTGGGTTTGTCTTGGCAGGTAGACTCCCAAATTCATCTGGAAGAGCAAAAAGAACACTGTTTTGAAAGTCTTAAGTCATTATGGAAAAAAATAAGATTTCTGCTCAGTGACAAATACAAAAACTGCATCTTTCAATTTCAATAATCTGTTTAAACTTCACTTTCTTGAGAGCTGCATGATTCAACATATTTCCTTTTTTGTTGTTAATTTAAATGTAGAACAACCTGATAGTAAAGACTCTGAAGGACTCATCACTATTTTTACCTCTTGTGTCTAAATTTAGCCACTTATCCAAGATCAAAAAGATTTTGCCCCAAAATATAAATAAATACTGCTCGTGATTTCACAAATAAATACTAACTTTAGTTTGTTAAACTACATTTGTTTGTGTTTAATTTAAAAAAATAGTGTTCATACTTACATACATATACAGTGGTGATGGTGGAGAAACATTATTAAAGTGCTTCTGTCTTTACTTGCTGCAAACATTTATGTTTCTGTAAAAGAAGAAGATAACAGCAATTTTAAAAATCAAATATTCTAACAAATACCATCTAAAGACATACTAATTTGTACTTACCCAGTAAGTAGCCAGTGAGGAATGACAGTAGGAAAATATTAAAAGTCTTTATTTTCCATAATTAAATTATTATTTTTTTCACACAGCTGCCTGGGCCTTAAATTTGAAATCTTGGCAATTAGTGGCTAGAGGAATTAAATAGCAGGAGAAAGTGAGAGAAGTGTTGGATAAGGTAACAAGAAAGGTCTGGCTTTGAAGGGTTTTTGTCAAATGAAAAAAGAGATGACAGTTTAAACAATTAAGCATGAGAGAAAAATGAGTAGAGAGTTAAGGAATGTTGGATTCTCCACTGACAGAGTATGAATGCAGAGCTTAAAAGAAAAGGAGTTGAAGTTTGGAAAAAGGAAATTTGAGGAAGGGTTTTGATCACATTAAGAAAAAAACTAATTTTAAAGGAGGTATTTCAAGAATTCATTAAGAAAATGCCTTAAAGTGCACTGGTTGGGAGTAAGTAAGAAATAAAAAGAATTTATTTGGTACTTTGTTTTATCTAAAGGAATAAAGGAGCCATTATTAGGGTTGGGAGCATCACCACGATTTTTTTTTTTATGTAAGGCAACTAAGAACAATGGACCCTTGTGAAAAGTGAGGTTTAGTAACTGCCACTAGTAATTACAAATCAAGAATTGATAGCATTGGAAATTTTTATAATTGTAATATATTAGAGAATTTGATCATTCTTTGTATGTACAAGAAGATAATAATAATAATAACAGCACCTACTTCACAAGTTTGTTTGAGGAATTAAATGATTCTGAAGTGCTTAGCATGAGAAATGTATAAATGTGAACTATTGCTACTAGGTTTTGGACTAAACAACCTGTTAAAGATAATAACATGAATGATTTTCTAAGAAGGATAAATTAATATTTTTTTTATTTAATAAATGAAATTTGATTTGAGAAGAACTTGGAAAATTGAGCATGATGTTAAAAAAACAACAAACAGAAATTATATTCTTTAGACTTCTAAATATTCTTATTTTGTAGAATGTAGAAGAATAGGAGGCATTTGATTCGAAATGTGAATTCTCTTTAACTAGAAAAATATACATTTAAAATATACTGTTATGTCAAAATTAAAAAAATATTGTGAAATGCTATTAGGCTACTTCCCTACTGAGATATTCAAATGAATGTGATGACAGCCTTTGCAGGAGGTGGGGAGGGAGAAGAAAAAAAGGCATTTTAATAATGAAGTGCCTATTGAGTGAAATTCTTATGATTTAATTAGAGGTTTGAGGAATGCCTCTAAACTATAGTGGTGATCTAAATTTGTAACCATTCTTAAGTAATGTCACTTTGAAATGGATTAAATTGGTGTTATTTGGCTAAAGCAAGTTTAGCATCTCATGAAATGGACTGCTAAAAGATAGCAAGACTGTTTAAAAAAACCTATTAAATATTGAGTAGTGTATATTTTCCTCTAAACTAGTCTCCTAAAGGGAAAAGCTTCAGTCTTACTATGTATAACTGCCTCATTAATGTGAATTATCAAGTGGTCAAGTAATAACTGAGAAATCAAAAACTAAACATTGTAAAGTACTACAGAAAGTAGGCTTCTGAAATCCTTTAAAGTAATTTTTTTTCCTCCTTTTTTGATTTTTGGTGAGGCAATAAAGGTTAAGTGACTTACCCAGTTTCACACAGGTAGTGAGTGTAAAGTGTCTGAGGCTGGATTTGAACTCAGGTCCTTCTGACTCCAAGCAGAGCTCTATCCACTGTGTCATCTATCTGGCTCCTAAGTAATCTTAAAAAAGTAGAAAAAAAGTTTGGCATGTGATAGGAACTATGTCAATGAACCACTGTCACTTCTTCAATTAACTGTAATCATTCCATGCTAGATAATTTTATACTGAGTTTTAGATGTCATTGGATGTGATTAATAAGATCCCAAAGGAGATAAGATAGATGATTTTTCCTGTAACATAATTTTAAAATGCATCTCACTGAATTATTATCATCTGACAGTAATACGTTTCATGTGTTAAATTCTTGATGTTGGGTATGCAATCTTTTCTCTTGTATTATAAACCTGAAAAAAAAAATTGTTAGGACAGGTTGCTTCCCCCATTGATCTGAATACCATGAGACCATAAATGTATCTGTTATAGAATGTGAAAAATTATGTTTGAAAACTGTTAACACTTAATGAGGTATTTTTGTTTGAAATTAAGAAAATAATAATAATGATAAATGACACTGTTAGGAGAAATGGATAGGAAATATTCTTAAGAAATCTTTGTCTGTGAAAGTCTTTTGGACTTCCTGCTTGACCTGTTATAGCATAAGACCTTACCAGCCCTGCTGACACCATATTGTCAAACTCTGAAATACTGCAGTTTAAGGAACTAGAACCCCTCCCACCCAAAGTAGGAAATTTATGAATTCAACTTTAAATTAGAAGTGTTTCATCTGAAATCATTTAGATAATGATGAAATTATCAGCTATTAATACTCAGTTTGTACTAAAGTTAATTTTTGAGCCAACTATTCATTATGTGTAAACTAATATTCACTGTATTCGTGTAAAACTTCAGAATGTAGTATTTGTGCTGCTTGTCCAAGTTAACCAACATTCAACCAGCTTGTGTCTCCATCATTTCCTGTGGTAGTTGCTCCATTTGACTTGCTCAGTGGGTTAAAGCTTTTTCTAGAACTTAAAAATCCTCTTGGCAGGCTGTATTTTGAAGCCCACCTGAAATGGCCACACGTACTTTCCCTTCCTTTCTCCTATCTACAGAGCAGGCCACAGAGAGAGTTTTAAAACCTATCATGTATTTGTTTAGACATTCTTCAGGACATATGTACATGTGGTGAATTTCACCTCCAACAACTATACTGAATATATGAAAAATTCATCTGTTAATGACTACTATATGAATTTGAACTAACACTGCTATGTATGAACATAATAATTATATCCTGCCCTAACATATAACTAATGAAGTTTTGGTGTTTGAGGCAGAAAATTTGGGACTATAATTTGATATACTTCACAGTTTTGATTTCAGGTTTTATTGTCTGATCTCTACTGAGGCCACTAGTAAAAATGTCAGCAGCTCAATAGTTGTGTCATCTGTGAATTTACACCAGTGGATATCTGTCCCTGGGGGATACTTGAGGAGGGATGAGCTTAGGAACACTAAATTGAGGACCTTCTTGACTCAATTTCCCATATAACACCTTTTGCCACTTGCATAATTCTGAGCCTGGCTGTGACATCCTTTCCCATGGTTTGGCTGCCTGTGACTCATACCTGAAATCAAACTGAACTAGTGAATAGTATCAATACCACCATGTCCTTCCCTTTCTCCTCACATAACAAATTCCTTTGATAAAAGCAAATGTTTAATGATGCCTCATTTTTTCATTGTGATAAACATAAGAGATAAATACTGTTGGAGACTTTTGAATAAATAATATATGCTAGTATAGTACTGCTAGAGTGAGGAATCATTTTAAATTGTCACTTGAATTACAAATAGTAGAGACCGGGGGTCTGACATCTTATGAGTACTTAGTTTACAGAAGATTGATACATCCTTTTCATTGTGTTAATTTCATAATGTCCTAATTAAGAGGGACTTAGTGGACACGTGTCACAGGTTTCAAAAGTAGATTAAGACTTTTACATGTAAAATTTCCTTGATAATTGTGAAGCAAGTGAAATTATTTTCCTTTTTGATGCATCTATCTGATAAGTTTGGAAAGACTCATTTTCTAGTTCAGTCCCTCACGATGTAACAATTGAAATTCTCTGATGTTTCAGGTGAATTATGTGGTCTTGATTTGATGGTCCTCAAATAGGTCTATTTTATATTGAGTTTGTCTTCTTTCTACATGCTCTTGGAACCTGAGAAGAACTCCCCTAACATGTCTGGTAATTACATAAATGATTAAACAAGATGCTATTGAGCTATGGGACATCACGCATGAAACTAAATGTAATACAGCTGTTTATTTCTTTTAGCCATTTTGGCTCTAATCATTATTGCAAATTAAAGAAATTCAGGATAGTTATTGGAAAATCTTATTCTGATCAGGTGAATTTTTGGTTTTGAGGGTAGCCATAAGCAATGGTTTCTACCCACTTTCCCTAAATCGAGTTTTATCTTGTCTGTGTGTTTGTCTCATTATTTTGTCTGTTTTTCTTTTCTAGAAAAAATCTTCAGCTCATGTCTTGTTTAATGTTGTCTGTAGATTCTATTACTTTGAAAGATTTCTAAAGGGAAAATGCAGCCAGTGCATCACTCATGGGTGGATCTGTGTCAGATTCCTGGGTCTCCCGTCTCGGGTGAAGTGAAGCACTAGCACACCAGAGCTTGTGGCTGCAGGGGTGGGAAACCTGCTCACAGTACAAAGGTGGAAAAGGGTGCTTGTGGTAGTTCACAGACCAGAGCACAGGCCAGGAGAGAAGTAACTGCACCTCTCTTTAGATCACACAACCTTGGAAAATCTGAAAACTTAGGGACCCTCAGAATGATATCTGAAAACAGCTGCATAAAAGACCCCAAGCTTGGGACAGTGCTCCATCCACCCTAAAGAGCAGAGCCAAATTAACATAAAGTTAAAAGTAAAAAAAAAAGAAATAGGCTGGAAAATGGGCAAACAATAAAAAGAGAATCTGACCATAGAAACTTATTGTGGCGACAGGGAAGATCAAAACACAATCTCAGAAGAAGACAACAAGGTCAAAACTGCTACATCCAAAACTTCCAAGACAAATGCCAATATCCCCCATTAAATACCAAATTAAATAACCTGAAAATCAAAAGATAAGTTAATGAAATTGAAAGTTAAAAATGAAACTACTATAACTAAGAAACAGCTTTATGGGGAAAAAAGAACAGTAAAACAGATAAACTATAGGCTTGTTTGATTCTTTTAAAAAGTAGGAAAGAAATTTGTATTGTTGTTGTTTAGTTGTTTCAGTGATATCTATTTGTGACCCCATTTGGGATTTTCTTGGCCAAAGCAGTGGAGTGGTTTACCACATGCTTTTACAGATGAGAAACTAAGGCAAACAAGCCTTGCACAAGGTCATACAACTAGTAAATGTCTGAGGCTAAATTTGAACTCAGGAAAATGAGTCTTTCTGATTTCAGGCCCTGCATGCTACACGTGGTGCCAGCTAACTGACTGTCAAATGAAATTCCCAGTATCAGAAATGAAAAGGGTGAATTTGCCACCAATGAAGATGAAATTCAAGCAGTGATTAAGAGGTATTTTAACAAGCTGTATGACAACAAATCTGACAATCTATGTGAAATGGATGAATATTTACAAAGACATATTCAATGAAGACTACTTAAAATATCAGATCTTAGAGAAAGAAATCGAATAAGCCATCAATGAGCAGCCTAAGAAAAAATCCCCAGGGCAAGATTGATTCACACATGAATTCTATCCAACATTTTAAAAAAACAATTAATTCTAATACTATATAATATAATTGGGATTATAGGTAAAGGAAAAATCCTGCCAAATTCCTTTTATGACACATATATGGTGCTTTTATTTAAACCAGGAAGAGCCAAAACAGATAAAGAAAAGTATAGGTCAATTTTCCTAATGAATATTGATACAAAAATTTTAAATAAAATGCTTGCAAGGACATTACAACATATCATCAGGGTCATACACTATGACCAGGTGGTTTTGATACCAGGAATGCAGGGCTGGTTTGGTATTAGGAACAGCATCAGCATAAGCAACCATATCAATAGCAAGACCAACAGAAATTGTATGATTATCCCAAAAGATACAGAAAAAAGATTTTCACAAAATGCAGTACACATTCCTAGGAAAAACACTGAAGAACATAGAAATAAATGGAGCTTTTCTTAAAATGACATGTAATGCATCTCAAAAATCATCAGCAAGCATTATATGTAATGAGGATAAGCTGGAAGCCTTCCCAATAAGACCATGGGTGAAACAAGATTGCCCATTATCACTGCTATTATTCCACATTGCACTACAAATGTTTGCTAAAGCAATAGGAACAGAAGAAGAAATGCAAGGAGTTGGAATAGGCAACAAGAAAACAAATCTGTCACTCCTTCATTGTATACTTAGAAAATACTAGAGAATCAACTAAAAGATTTAGTTCAAATAATTAACAAATTCAACAAGTCTGCAGAATATAAAATACTCACATAAGTCATCAACATTTCTACATATTAATAAAAATCTAGCAGCAAAAGATACAAAGAGAAATTTCATTTAAATTAGACAATATAAAATTCTTGGCAGTCTATCTGCCAAGACAAACCCAGAAACTATATAAATACAATTACAAAACAATTTTCACAAACAGTTGGGAAAATACCACTTGTGCATGTGTGGGCCTAAGTAATATAATAAAGATGACAATTTTACAGGGCAGCTAGGTGGCACAGTAGATAGAGCACCGCCCCTGGATTCAGGAGGACCTGAGTTCAAATCCGGCCTCAGACACATCACACTTACTAGCTATGTGACCCTGGGCAAGTCACTGAACCCCATTGCCTAACCAAAATAAAAAAAGAAGGAAAAAAAGAGATGACAATTTTACCTAAATTAATTTACATATTCATTTACCAATTAAACCACCAAAAATTATCATATAAAGCTAGAAAAATAATAACAAAATTCATCTAAAAGGACAAGAGATAAAGAAT